CGCGTTTCGCCTCCAGCAGCCGCCTATAAGGAATGCGGAAGCAGCAGCAAAATGCTGCGTCTGAGGGTTTTAAAATTAATTTTAAATGCGGCAGCGGCGGAGTCCACAAAGGCTGGAAAGGCTCCAAACCCCTCCAGCCCTTTTGGGGGTGCAGCAGCGGCAGCACCAGCATGGAGTCCCAGTCGCTGCTGCTGCTGTTCACCTGCAGCCGCTCCTGCTGCTGCTGCTGCTGCTGCTGCTGCTGCTGCTGCTGCTGCTGCTGGTGCTGCTGGTGCTGGTGCTGGTGCTGGTGCTGTTGGTAGGAGTGGGAGTTGCTGTGTTGCCGCTGGTGCTGCTGCTGCGGCGGGTGGTGGCCTTGCTGCTGCTGCTGCTGGTCCTGCTGCTGCTGCTGCTGCTGCTGCTGCTGGTCGTGGTCCTGCTGCAGCTGCAGCAGCAGCTGGTGGACCCTGCGCCTGGCGACGGGGAGGGGCTGGCGCTGCAGCAGCTGCTGGCGGAATTCCCAGCGGAGTCTGCTGCTGCTGAAGTGTCTGTACACCTCAGCTTCCCGCCCCTCCGCCACTTCTTTTCTTTTTGCATGCACTTTAATTAAAAACTCATTTACAATAGCGAGGTGTCTGGGGACAATTCGGGTGTACAGACCGTAGGTGACAGCAGCAGGAAACTGCAGCAGCTGCTGCAGCGGGGTGTACATACAGTTCTGCAGGTACAGCAGCTTCGTCTTCAAAGACCCCTCCGCGTCCACGTTCAGCAGCCGCGGCTGCTGCAGCAGCAGCTGCTGCAGCAGCTGCTGCAGCAGCTCCCGCCCGCGGCACACCTCCTGCTGCTCCTGCTGCAGCTGCTGCAGCCCCCTCGCCCGCGCTGCAGCAGCAGCAGCACCGTCCCCTCTTGCTGCTGCTTCCGCCTCCCCCGCAAACACTTCCTTCAGCAGCAAACCCCCCGCCTGCGGCACCAGCTGCGGGCCCTGCTGCTGCTGCTGCTGCTGCTGCTGCTGCTGCAGCGGCGGCAGCGGGGGCACTGGCCCCTTGCCTTGCCACCAGGCCAGCCACTGCTTCTCCTCCTCTTCCTGCTGCTGCTGCTGCTGCTGCTGCTGCTGCTGCTGCAGCTCCAGCAGCGGGTCGCCTCCTCCCCAAAAGTAAGGCCTCGTGGAAAGAACCTGCAGCCAAACTCTTACTATTGCTTTTAGCTTCTGCTGCGGCTGCCGCTGCTGCAGCAGCTGCGGCCGCTGCAGCGCCAGCTGCTGCAGCTGTTTGCTGCTGAGGCCAAACTCTTTCCAACGCGACAAAAAGCTGCGCATGCGAGACGCTGCTGCTGGTCCGTGAGCCTCCGCTGCTGCTGCTGCTGCTGCTGCTGCTGCTGCTGCGTCTGCCGCTGCAGCAGCAGCAGCATCTGCTGCAGCTGCTTGCGACCCCGCGCTCGAAGCAGGGGCAGAACTTGCTGCTGCTGGAGCAGCAGCAGCAGCACCTGCTGCTGCAGAGCTCACCTGTGGGGCAGTCCCCGGCTTTGCTGCAGCCCGCCCAGCAGCAGCAGCAGCAGCAGCAGCAGCGCCTGCAGGGGGCGCAGCAGCAGCAGCAGCCGCTGCTGCTGCCTTGGCTGCTTTTGCTGCTGCAGCAACAGCCTCATCAATGGGAAGACTTGACTTAAATGCTGCTGGGTCTGTCAGCAGCCACCGCTTAACTGCTGCTGCACTCCAGCCCTCCTCCTGCAGCAGCACTGCTGCTGCTGCTGCTGCTGCTTCCACCCCTCCGGGGCACAGCAGCTGCACCCGCCGCCGCAGCAGCAGCAGCAGCTCGCGGGGGGACAGCTGCAGCAGCTGCGGCAGCCGCAGCTGCTCGAGGCGCTGCAGCAGCGGAGACGACGCCAGCAGCTGCTGCTGCTGCTGCTGCTCGCTGCTGCTGCTGCTGCTGCTGCTGCTGCTGATGTTGTAAACCTCTGTTGCAGTGTGCTGCAGCACCAGCTGCAGCAGCGCCACGTGCGAGGGTTTGGGCTGCTGCTGCTGCTGCTGCAGACACCTGAGGGCAAAGGCGAAGCCGCGGCGCAGCTTGTCGGGCAGCGGCCCCACTCTCTCCACCTCTTCCTCCCCCTGCTGCTGCTGCTGCTGCTGCTGCTGCTGCTGCTGCTGCTGCTGCTGCTGCTGCAGCTGCTGCTGCTGCTGCTGCAGCGGGTTGGGGTCGTAGAAAATGCTGCTGCTCGGCAGCCAAGGCACCAACGGGTCGCTGAAAAGTCCCTTTTGGAGGCGCCGCAAAGAGCTGCGCGCTGTGTGGGGTCTGGGGTGTACGTACACCCCAATAAACCCTGCTGCTGCTGCTGCTGCTGCTGCCGGGGCTGCTGCTGCTGCTGCTGGTGCCGCTGCTGCTGCTTGAGCAGCTGTAGCACTGCCGCCGGCGCAGTGCTTGCCTGCTGCTGCTGCTGCTGCTGCTTCACTGCACAGCAGCTGCAGCAGCAGCAGCAGCGGCAGCCAAACCTGCATCGCCACCTGGGGTGTACGTACACCTGAACGCTGTCTTAGGGGCCCCCCTTAGGGGGCCCCACACTGGAGGCAGCAGCGGCGCTGCAGACGCCACCAGCAGTGCCCTGCTGCTGCTGCTGCTGCTGCTGCTGCTGCTGCTGCTGAGTGCTGCAGCAACCGGAGCGTCGGCTGCCCTTGGCGGCACTCCAGAACTGTAGAGCTACCAGGCACTAAACCCTAAACCCTAATCCCTAAACCCTAAACCCTAAATATTGGGAAACAAGCGTTTGCTGCAGCTGGCGAAAGGATCCCCAGATCCGCAGCCGTTAGCCCTAAACCCTAAACCCTAGACCCTAAACCCTAAACCCTAACACGAGACCGTTGGAAGAGTGATTAGCCTGGAGCAGAGGGCCTACGAGCAAGGTGTGGAATCATTGTCAACAAGCTTAAAATATGTCATTTAGGGTTTAGGGTTTAGGGTTTAGGGTCGAGGGTTTAGGATTTGGGATTTAGGGTTTAGGGTTTAGGGTTTAGGGCCAAGCCCCGACCTCCAAACAGCTGCTGCTCTTCTCTGTCTGCCGAGGGCTGAAGTCTCTGTCGTTTTATTAAACTTACTTTAAGCTCATTTTAGTGTTTTAGGGTTTAGGGTTTAGGGTTTGTGGTTTATATTTCGGAAGTCAACAGTCTAGGGTCTAGGGTTTAGGGTTTGAGGCTTACGGCTAAAGGTTAGCGTGTGCGGCTGCCGCCGCGAGGGTTTTGAGGGTTTAGGGTTTAGGGTTTAGGGTTTGACATTAAGGATTTAGGGTTTAGTGGCAGCGGAATTTGTGTTTTCCGTGTGTTTGCTGCATCCACCTGTGCACCCGGGCAGCTGCGCTGTCGCATACTTAAGCCGTAAACCCTAAACCCTAAACCCTAAACCCTAAACCCTAGCAGCAAGTCCCCATGGGAGGAATGGCCCAGGGCGCTCCACAGCGGGAGTGGAATTCCCCTTCCCCTTACCTCCTGCCTTCAGAGCAGCAGCAGCAGCAACAGCAGCAGCAGCAGCATCAACAGCAGCAGCAGCAGCAGCAGCAACAGCAGCAACAAGGACAGAAACAGCAGGAGCAGCAGCATGAGCAGCAGCAGCAAGAGCAGCAGCAAGGCGAGCAGCAGCAAGAGCAGCAAAACGCTGCAAAGGCTGGAGGTAAAACAGTAGCAGCAGCAGAAGCGCCAGAACCAGCTGCAGCAGCACAAGCAGCAGCAGCAACCGAGGCAGCAGCAACCGAAGCAGCAGCAGCAGCAGCAGCAACAGCAGAACAAGCAGCGGCGACAGAAACAACAGCAGCAGCAGCAGCAGAAGACGCAACAACGGCAGCAGCAGGAACAGCAGCAGCACCAGAAACAGCAGCAGAAACTGCAGCAGCAGCAGCAACAGCAGCAGCAGCAGCAGCAGCAGCAGCAGAAGCAGATGATGAGCTGTGGCCTCCACCCCCGCTGCTACAGCACTCCCCCCCGAAGTTTTGTCTTTGCTGCGCCATTACTGCCCAGCGTGAGAGCAGCAGCAGCAGCAGCAGCAGCAGCAGCACATCTGCACTCAGAAGCAGCAGCAGCAACAGCAGCAGCAGCAGCAGCAGCAGCAGCACCATCACCTGGACTGCCCCTTTTCTCGAAGCATTTCTGCAGCAGCTTCGAAGAAGAGAAATCAGGGGCAGCCACATGGCAGCACACAGGACAGCAGAGGCAAGCAAGGGTTTAGGGTTTAGGGTTTAGGGTTTAGGGTTTAGGGTTTAGGGTTTGTCTACAGAGCCTAAAACGCGTTGTAGATGCTTTTCCTTGGAGCACTACTCAAGAGTTGGTCGACGTGATTAGAGAAATAGGTCGCCGTCTAATTTGTGCTGCTCCTCTTGAGCTGTTGGTGGCCAACATCGTCAGAAGGGTAAACCCTAAACCCTAAACCCTAAATCCTAAACCCTAAACCCTAAACCCTAGGCCCCTGCGGGCAAACATTTTGGGACTTTGTGAGGCAGGTTCATGGAAAACGCGCCTTTCTCATTTTGAGTAGAGGGTGCAGAACAGAAGGCTTGTGTTTTGTTGCTAGGGCTTAGGGTTTAGGGTTTAGGGTTTAGGGTTTAGGGTTTGTGGATTCAGGTTCTTTGCATCATTCGAACGGAGCACTACAAACACCAAGACGCCCACCGGCATCTTCCGCGGGCTCCGGCGGCTGCGAGGGTTTCAGGCTCTGGGCTGGCTGCGCCGCAGCAGCAGCAGCAGCAGCAGCAGCAGCAGCGGCGGCGGCAGCAGCAGCAGCAGCAGCAGCACAGAGCCAAGTGGGTCTCCCAAAGAGCAGCACCTTCTATGGCGAGCTATTTCGACCCTTATGCTGCTGCTGACGCTCGGGACTTTTTGCTGCCAGTGCCGCCCACAGTCAAGCAGTCTATTTTCGAGGTAGGGTTTAGGGTTTAGGGTTTAGGGTTTAGGGTTTGCGACGGGCGAGGGGTCGCAGACGAGGGTTCAGGGTTTAGGGTTTGGGGTTTGCGGTGCGTCGCCCAGCTTTGGGCGGAGCGAAAAAAGCTAGCTGGACAAAGCGAAACCTCCTCTGCACTGCTCCGGCTGTTAGGGTTTAGGGTTTAGGGTTTAGGGTTTAGGGTTTAGGGTTTGGCTGCAGGGCATGTCTGAACTCGTGGCGGAGATCGACAGCTTGTGGGAAGACGGCGAAGAAATCCGCATGAGTTGTTTTCATGATGGAGATTGCATTTTGACTTATGGCTATTCTTTAGCTGTCGAGAGGCTTCTTATAGCGGTGCAAACCCTAAACCCTAAACCCTAAACCCTAAACCCTAGATCGTGGATCGTGTGTTGCATTTGCCGTCTTCTGTGTATGAACCCTTTGTGGGTGTCTGCTTGCGGCTTCGGGCCGTGGAAGAGCTGCGGCAGGGCGTAGCGTTGAGCGTTTAGGGTTTAGGGTTTAGGGTTTAGGGTTTAGGGTTTAGGGTTTAGGGTTTAGGGTTTGCGCAGGTGCACGAGAAGAACCTGAAGCTGCAGCAGGCGGGGCGGCGCGGCGCCGCCCTGCGCTGTCTTTTCGAAGTTGTGGTTTTGGGGGGCGACGGCGAAGACGGCAGCAGAAAATTGGCAAAAAGACTTCAAGGAGTTGGAATTCAAACCACTTTTATGCCAGATTCTGCACTTTTTGCTGCCATGCCGAAGGTCGATAAAGTCCTCCTAGGTGCCTAGGGTTTAGGGTTTAGGGTTTGGGGGGATCCCAAATCCCAAACCGCAAATGCCGCTTCGATTTGGCGCAGAACGAGGGTTTAGGGTTTGGGGGGTAGTGCAGGGAGTTGGAATTCAAACCACTTTTATGCCAGATTCTGCGCTGTTTGCTCCTAGGTGCCTAGGGTTTAGGGTTTAGGGTTTGGGGCCTAGGGTTTAGGGTTTGGCGTTTACGGCGTTCGATTTGGCGCAGAACGAGGGTTTAGGGTTTGGGGGGTAGTGCAGGGAGTTGGAATTCAAACCACTTTTATGCCAGATTCTGCACTTTTTGCTGCCATGCCGAAG